CGCTACCATGTTATATCCGTGTACCACATCCATGTTCACACTTCCCAGCTACATTGTCATGTCAACTCCTTAGGTGCACAAGTAATGGAAATTCAAATTTGGGTTGAGGATTCATGGTCCCCATGTTAGTCTGATCCAACACTCCATCTGTACAAAAGAGGAGCAGGAGGTAGCTTTTTTTTTGTTGGTTCATTAGATGACAATTCATGTCCCATAAGGCATATGTTGGGAGTTAAACTAACTCCACTTTAGAAGATGGAGTTGCAGCTCACACCATCACTTCCAAAAGCAGGATGGTCTGTGGCAGTGCTGCCCATGGGAAGTTAGCCAGGAGTCACTGTCGTTGGTATATTGCTAGGACATAGATTACCTCCTGTCTAATGTTTGTATCGTTTTCTTATAGGCTATGAGATTTTGATTTTGGATTACTCGATCGGATTTAGAGCAGTCCTTAAAAAGGTTGGATTGAAGCCTTATATTATGTACCTTGCCATTCTAAAGGAGTCATTTATTTTAGAATAAGAGTTCTGAATGGTTCAGAAAGGAGGAAGTTCAGTAAAACTCATATTATGGTTGCTAGTTAAACATATTCCATATGCCCACTGCACACTTCAAGGAATAAGCGACCTATTTCAAGGAATAAGTGCCCTCATACATACATGGAAGATGCAGAAGAGACCTTGAACTGATGATAAAAGGAAATACTTGAATAACCATGAAAGCTGGTTATTGCACTCTTGATAAAGTAAGTGATCAGAACATGCACGTTAACGAAAAGTCGAAAACCATAGACAGGGTTTACTGGATACTAGTAGTTTATTACATCTGTCCATACCTGATGTTAATGTTATTATCACAGTTTTATAGAGTCTGCAACAATCAAAGCAACCTTAAGGCGAGTTATTTGATTGCAGATGCAAATATGAACTACTAAAATCAGTTAATCATTTAATAGTTAAATACAACACATTGCATGAAAGCATTCGGAGAAAGCTTATTTTAAGATGTTGCCTGCTGAATTGATACTCAAGCATTGAGCTGCTTCATATATAAATTCTTGACCTTTGTCCACTTCAACTATCTGATTTTTCCGAAGCCCATTAAGCAAATGGAAATGAAATGGCAAAAAAAAATCAGCCTTTTGAGATGTTTGCATTTCGTAGGTTAGCTTTTCTGACAATTTTCCGTCTGCTGTTCCTGGTTCTGGAATCTGGCACCAACTTGCAGATGGTTGCTTTTTTAGTTAAATTGTGAATCATAAGAATTTAGTTGCTCCTTGGTAAAACTTTTTTGACTACTTTTGGCTCTTATGCTATAACCCACTGCCAAACTCACTTCTACGAGAAGTTCTTGGAGGACAGTAACAATGAAATAAAAGATATCATTACTCAACTATCAAATATTAGCTGGAAATGGCCAGTGCAGGACGTAACAAACTAGTGTGGATTCACTGATATTTTTTTGGTGGTATGTATAAGGTGTATACTTTCTATTTTATGGGTGCAAGACTTGTAAATCAAAGGCTAAGATGCAGGTCATACATGAAGCATTAACTTTTTGTTTCTGTTTTCTTTAGTGAGAGAGTGATCTGTTAGATTGTGTTCTCTATGGTAATTGCCTCCGGCCCTCCGGCCAGCTTCATGTAGAGTAACTATGTCATTTATTTTCTCCACTCAACAGTTCTAAATTTTATTTGACTCGATGAGGCTGTCGACAAGGTTCTATATCGGATGTTGAGTACATGGCGGTCCAAGGAAACACATGTCAGGTACTGTCGGAGTCTCAGAGACATGTTAGGCATTAGCGAATAGCAGGCACCATATTGTATGAAAGATATATCTCATGTGTATAAACATTGATAAATATAATGGATTCCCGGATGTGATTTATCTAATAAAATTATAAAATTTAAACATACAAAAAAAAGGTTTACTGAAGTCAAATTATATAATAAAGATCTACCTATGTTGCATGGAGACGGTACAAGTATGGTACGGGACACTGTAAATTTGTAAAAGGTAGATATTTATACACACACATTGAAATAGTGATTTACATGAGATCAATATTATTATTTCATCTGCATGTTATGTAAATTAATTTTTTATAACACTTCAATGTTTCCTTTATTATGTAGGTTATACATTTGAATGTTGCTCGTTCTTGAACTAGATTCACGAACGAACCTTAAAGCATAGGTCTGAACTGTTGTTGGCTCACTCATTCTAATGAGAGTTTCAAGAAGTGAACTTGAAGTGTAGGGTACATCCAATAAGTATATGGTGGGTGTTTTGAGTTAAAACTTAAAACATGAAGTATAAGTACATGTCTGAATAAATGTATGCATGTATTCAAGAAGTGTCAGTGTCCAGTACGGGTACAACATGTGCCATGTACTAGTACAACTTCATGATAGAGGTACCCATGCAACATAGGGATCCATGTATAGTACATTATGACTTGTGAAATAATCATAAAGGAATAAATAAGCAACCAAAACCACCATAGCACTTATAGTTAATGTGCAGATATCATACCAGGCAAATATATTGGATAAAACCTGACATTTGAGGGATATTTACTGAAAAAGATGCACTCAATATCTACCTTTACATTGTAACATTGTATGCCAAAAACCATGTCAACTGACAAAGTTGGAACATGACATCTCAAACAATGGTTAATTATACCTAAATAAAATAAAATAATAAAAAATAGGGAAAATTTTCTTGCCTGTTAAATGGTGGAAATTATTCACCTTGAAGCCTGTTGCTTACGTTGTTATATTATTACCTGTCTGGCTTAGTTTTTTGTCCCAAGGTTATAAAGTAGTTTCCTATAGCAAATCCTTTATCCTGTCTCGTCATGTTGACTCTTTTGTTAAAGCAACTTTTCTTGTTTTTACATGAGTTTAAAGTGCATAGCCAAGATCTAGGTTTACGTATTTGTCAACTACTCAGATTTAATTGCATGACCCTACCTTGCTCATCTTTCATGTAGAATTTGTTTGAGCATAAACAATACAAATTCCATGTCTGTGTGTCACAATCAGACACCAACAGTTGCATTACATTCTCTGAAAACGTGTCAGGCAGCGAAAAACTGTGTACTACTTTAGAAACAAAAAGACTTATATCATTGTCGTGTTGGCTTTTAAAGAAAAAAGACTGGAGATTGCATGCTGGGCATCCTAGGGCTTGTATTTATTAACATGAAGAGGGATTTCTTTGACCTAAGAGAGATACTATGTTAGCCCAACCCTAAAACCTACAAACAAGTGAGGAACAATGCGGAAGTAGAAGTAGTTTCATAATTGTGAATTATGCCCCTACACCGTAAAATTTTTGTGAAGAATCTTACAATATGCGGATAAGATAGTAATTTAACCATCATACTGGATATTTTTTCCTTTTAAGCTTTCTTATTACCAACAAAGATGAAACGAAAGACAAAAGAAGGTAAGAACATTGAAAACAGATTTACAAAAAGTGCCCTGAGAAGATAGTCATAGTCATTGTTTTAAATATCCCCGATATGGCCCGATATATCCCCCGATATATCCTTTTACAGGGCTTGCCGCAACCGATATGGTCTTTAAATATCCTTTACCGCTTTTTGGCTATTTTGAGTGATAAATCCCTGATATGGCCGATATATTAGCCGATATGTGGACCAATATATCTTTTTATATAGCTTGTTGCAAAATAATATGCCGTGTTTGGAATTTTTGGGCGAGATATCAAGATTTCCCCATTATATCAAATGATATTTTGCCCTAAAAAAACAGATCGAATGTTGCAACGTTGCTTTGCACTTTTGTTTGTTTTAGAAGGTTGATTAGTGATCCTAAACATATATTATTCATATTTTGTATGTTTAAATTTCATTACATATGTTGAGATTACATTTTAATGCATTATACTATGTATGCAAACATTCATTATGGCATTCCGATATTTACCACATATCCCCGATATTTTTCCGATATCCGCAATCCGATATGAATTTTGGCTATCCGATATTCCCCCAATATCCGATATTTAAAACCTTGGTCATAGTACTCAAAGAGCAAGCAGTAAGCAAATGGAAGAAATGTAGGAGAAATATACCCTGTGAGGGGCAGAACTCCTGGAATGTTGGCAGTCTGTCGCGGTTAGTATTGTAATAAAGAACATTGTTTATGAGATTGTTCAAGAGCTCAATTCCTTGTTCTTCCTCTTTTGTCTTCTCTTTCTTCTCCTGCTTCTTGTACTTCAGTTCTTCCTTATTTGGAAATTCTGAGGTACCTTTTTGGGGTACTCTTTCTAATTCCTCCGGCTTCCATGATTCCACAGTAAGCTGTAAGACTGGTCAGAGTTAGAAAACAATTTTATTCAGAGCCATTAAATATTTCAAATGCCTATTAAGGTCAATAGTTATATTGCATTCATGTGCTTATATGCAGCCAAAGATACCTGAATTCCTTTAAACTTGGATTGTATTCACAAGAAAACCTACGTGATTGGGGCATCAAATTGACACCCATTTAGTTCACAAGGATAGCTATGCTCTTTATAAATTAGTTTGATTCCTAGGGATAAATCTCAGACGTTTATAACAACATCATTTCATGCATTTAAAACGCAAGTCATCTACATGGAACTAGATAAGGACAGTAAAATTGATCCTGGTTAATAGATCTTGAGGAAAGCTAGAAGGTAACTTTCTTTCATGTGGTGCGATGACAAATCCCTAAAATGGTAGAAGACTGACGTTCTTCAAGTATTCAAATAGAGATCAAGAAAGTATTCTATTTCAAACAAGAGCAATCAGAAACTTATGCTTTTGAATTAGTGAAAGAAACCTGATAAAAGCTTGTGGATATATTACTAATCTGGATCACAGGTTGGCTTACCTTCAGGAACTTCTCTTTCATCTCCTCAGTGCCAAATGCTTCATTTTCTATATGTTCAGAGATCTTTAGGATTATACTCTTACAGTTCTTCATCTGCTTATTGTAGCTTCAATTAGAAGGTTTTCAACACTAAAGGAGGAGAATAACAAAGCAGCAAGAAAGGAGACCGCAAAGAATTGCAAGGTTGCCTAAATAAGAGAGTAAGGTACATGAATCTGGTAAGATGCCCTACATTGCATCAAAAGTATCGAAAATGCTTCGTGCCTTTGTTTGTTTTTGACCATTGGATTTAAGAGTCTAGATTGAAGATCTTAATCCAACGAACGGTGCACATTTTCTCTTAATTAGGTGCTTAATAGTATGGTAAAAAGTTTTTGACGGTGTAGGATGGTTGTCATCTTCTATAAATTTCGCTGTTTGGAGGTTTGCAATGGTTATGGTGGGCCTAGTATAAGAATTCATGTATCTGACCCGAGTCTCATGTAGTGAACGGTTTGATGAATGGCTATGATGTCCCGTGCAGACTGCTTGCATTAAATGCGCAAGCTTTACCAAATATATACATATCTTGATTCTAAGTATCTTTGGCTTTTTTTTGGCAACAATAGATCTCTAAGAAGAGCTTGCCATCTCGACTGATGGTTTCTTTTTCTAGGCAGCTCTTGTTACTTAATTTTTTATTTACATAATCAATCATACCTGCTCGTGTATATTTATTCTCCATTTTGATCATTTATAGATTTAAGTAGAATGATGTTAATGCGAATGCTACTATAAACAGTAATTGGTGAAATAGACCATAAAACTTCGGCTGAAAGTTTGAGAACACTATTCTCAGGTTGTTTAAACATAAGAGCAACTTCATTTTCTGAGGATGTTTTTATTTTTTAAAGCATAACTTGTATCTGTTTGCTTTTGGAAAAAATTTGGGTTCTCAATCCTTCCTGTTTGGTTTTATAAGATAGGTGTTTGTGCATGCATATTGCTATATGATTGTATGTGTGTGTGTGTACGAAACATTCAGGGTTTCTTTAAGATTCTAACATACTCCTTAAACACCCTAGTTTCAAGTATTAATGCGCAAGCCACTAAGGCATTTTAGGTTCTGAACACGTATTATCAATGCTGGTCTATTAAGATAAAACTTTTAGGATTTTTCTGTGGAAAATAGTTTGTGTTAGACTTAAATATGTTGATTTTACAAGACCTCGGATGTGCCGGTTTTTCTTGCGAAAAGGTTACAAGGATAAGGACTTTTTGTTAAACTACAAACAAATGCTAGTTGCTCCTTCTAGGCGAGGTTTTAAATATCGGATATTAGGGACATATCGGATGACCAAAATTCATATTGAATTGTTGATATCAGGGAAATACCAGGGATATGCAGTAAATATCGAATTTACATATCACATGATGTGCATATATAATATATAATATAATGTCCAAAATATCATCTAAACATACTAAATAAAATCCAATAATATAAAAATATAAATAATATACATCTAGAATTGCTAACCAATTGTATAAACTTAGGAAAAAGAGCCTACTAAGATTTGTTTAAAAATTTCATAGGATGCAAGTTTTTGCTAAAAAACATTAAATAAATTTTACAAAGTTATATTGTCTCAGTGACATACTATATAAAGGGACATATCGGCTAATATATGGGTCATGTCGGGAATATATCAATCAAAAATTGCCAAAAGCTATAAAGGATATTAAGACCATGTCGTTTTGTTGCAAGCCTTGTAGAAGAATATATCGGCCAGATATGTTGGCTATATCAAAAATATTTAAAGCAAGGAATTTTTTTTAAAAAGGACCGTTTTTGAAACTTTATTAGCAAAATTTACCTTCAATTATAGATTTAATTAGCAAAATCGACGTCTTTTGTAGATTTTGCAAAATATAGTTTTCAAAATACACGGGACTAGTAGTGTTGGCTAATCACATGCTAATTAAACTTCAAAAAAATACACGAGACTAATTAAACTTCATTAGGGTGTAATTAGACACCACTAAATACATGAGACTACTAGTCTCATGTATTTTAAAGCTTTATTTTTTTTGCAAAATCTACTTCTTTTTGCCTAGCTGACTAAAAAAAGTCGATTTTGCTAATTATATAAAAAATAGATCGATTTTACTAATAAGGTTTCAAAAATGGTCTTTTTTAAAAAAAAATCTCCTTAAAGTAATGCTTCCAGGTATAAGCACATGGATCAGAATTAAGGACAAAAAAATTTATTGAAGATGTTGGTAGTTGAAGATTGTTTAAGAAGCTACATGTCTCCACCCTAGACAAAGTTTTGATTTGCCGAGAAATGCCCAATGCACGTGGTCCATTGCATTAATAGTGCACCAAAGAGATATTGGTCATTTGTTTAGTGCACAAATCTCCAAATCAGTGATCCAACAGTTGTTATCTCTTCGGGGCACCTTTAATGCTATGGACGGATTTTTGATTCCTTTCAGGCGGAGGGTATCCAGTGCATCTGGTCCATTGCAGTAATGGTGTACAAATGGATGTCAACACTCGGATCAATGCACAAATCTTGCTTATGGATGTTTTGTAGTAAAGACAACTTTAATGGGTTTCCTTCATCTTCAATATAATTCATATGACTATCTAAGGCTATAAACTTATAATTTATAACTTATATCTGGTTATCTTATATGATAAGGGTTTTCATAAAAAAACCACCTTTAAAATAGGGCAAATTTATAGGAACCACCTTCAAAAAAAAATTTAATGCAGAAACCACCTTATAAATGGACTTAGCTTTCAATCAACCACTTCAGGACAATTTCTAATCAACTTTAATCCTAACTGCCAAAAATGCTCTTCCCCCTTTTCCCTTCTCACCCACCCCATGCTACCTTCACCCTTCTCTCTTCTCCCAATTATGAGAGAATTTGTTCTAAAGTGTTGATTGAAATTTAACCCACTTATAAGGTTGTTTCTGCAAAAAGAAAAAAGAAAAAAGAAAAAAGGGAAAAAATGAAGGTGGTTCGATCAATTTGCTCTATTTTAAAGGTGGTTTTTATGAGAAAGCTGTAAATGATGTTTTTAATGATGGTGCGCTAGAAACTGTGATGTCTGGTTATTTCCATAAGGGATCATGTCAAGTTGGCATTATAAATGTAAACTGCTGAGCTTTTCTTTTTGAATGCAGGTGGTCGCATGCTTCTCTTTGAACTGAGGATCTGAAGATCGGATGTGATTTCAAATTTGAGATAGTTATTTACACAGTTCAATTATCATGTTGCTGGAAATTTTCTGAGGATCATGGATCCATTGACCATGTCAGATTTTATGATGATGGGTTATCTTCTAATTGCTGATAAGACAGTTAAAGATTTTCTAGGGGGCTAACTTGTGAGGACTACTTGTTTCCTGAAATATGAAGGAATGAAAAACGTTATTATTGTTCATTTCATGTTACAGAAGCGGAGCTAATTGGAGTCGAAGATTTGAGATTCTCCCCCTCTTTTAACGATGGTTTGGTTTGCTTTGATCACGTAATTGTCATATATATGGAGTTGTTCTGTACAAGATTGGTGTTCCCTTTTATCACCTCATATTTATGATCCGAAATAGAGAGGTTCTTACCTTTTTAAGTCACCCGGTTTGTATCGGGGTCAGATTTTGATGTTTTCCCTTGTGTTGATCAGTTCAACTGTATACGAAACGAAATGTTTGCAACTTGGAGCACAACTGTATTTTCTTTCATAGTATGGTCATGCATTTGAAACAAGCAAGGATGTGTGTTTATTTCGCAGCATGTATGATAAATTTCATTGCCAGGTGAATGTTTTCGGTGCAACGTATCACGGTACAACATGTGTGATATGATACTGCCATTGCAAGGATGAACATTTCAATCCAAATCTTAAACACGCAAATGCAAACCACTTGGAGTTTTCGTGCTGACCAGCAAAAGAACCAAACGCAAGCATGGGATGCTAGTTTGGACATCGTCATTTGTCACGCGCATCTGATAATCTATTAGTTTTATTTATTCATGTTCATGATAGGCAAAATTTGAATGTCTATAGGTGGGTAGTCGTATTTATGCATGTTTATGATGTACTAAATCTGACTAAAGCTGGGTAGTTGTATTTTTGCATGTTTATTATAAATTTGGCTGAGCGTGGGCTGATAGAATTGAATCCTTGAACCCTTCGGCTTTTTTTTTTTTTTTTTTTTTGCCGTTTTCCTTTTTTTTTAGAGGGAGAGAGAAATATAATTTTTATTTTCTTGTGGGCGGACGGAGCCCCTAAGAAAAAAGAGTCGGGAAAATTTTAATTAGGACCTCTACATGTAATTAACTTTATAGTGATAGAAATGTCATAAGAAGTGACTGAGTTAGAAAATTCTGTATAGAAAATTATGGATTTAGAAACATAATTGTTTGAAACCCTGTCATCATTGGACGTCAAAATTATTACAACACTTACAACAGCTTTTTAAAGAGTTAACTGGATAATTCCTTAAGCTTATAACATCGGTCTTATAATAAACTACATCATAAGAAAAATTAGAACTTTTTGCGTATCGAAATACTTTTTGCCATCCAAAGTGTTGCGATGGTTTTTTTTTTTTTTTTTCTAATACGGTTCAGATTCACACGAGTGCTGCAATCAGCATGCATGCGATGGTTTTTTTTTTTTTTTTTCTAATACGGTTCAGATTCACACGAGTGCTGCAATCAGCATGCACGTTTTGCAATTTCACACGCCATGCATGAATCCAATTTAAATCTGCTCGGGTTCGGATCAGAAGTTACGGGTTTAAACCAAACTAACCCGACCCGATAACGAACCACCCTCGACTTCCAGGCGAAGGAAACGCTGACGTCATCCCTCTGGCTGTTTTTGGAGCAGGTACACCTCAATAACACGAAGCAGACGCGGACGCTTTTTATTCCCTCTCTACTCTCTCTCTCTCTCCTCAATAAATCTTGAATCGATCAGCTCTAAATCGAAGAAATCTCTCGCAGATTCTTTAGGGTTTGAGTGGCCATGTCGATGCTCGACTCTTTCTTCAACAAGGGCTTCAAAGGGGCAAAGTGGTATGTATCGAATCAGAGGCCTCACTTTTTTAAGTCTCTTGATTTGATCGTCAAGTTCCGATTTTGATGTATCGGTGGTGTTTTGTTGAGGAGCTTGATCAGTGGGTACTTGGTGTATTGTTCAATTGATGCTTAATTTGATAGAATTCCCCTCTTTTGTTGCTGTGACGGATGAAGATTCATACCTGTTTATAATTCTGGCTCATGGGTCGTCGGGGTTTTTTCGAATTAAATTAGAAATCTGTTAGTGGAAGATATTGGTTCTGTAGTAATTTATTTTGTTAATTTTTGGGTTTATTTATTTATTTTTATTTTTTTATCAGCAAAACTCTGTTGAAGCTGACAATTCCGAGGATAAAGTTGCTGCGGAATAAGAGGGAGGTTCAGCTGAAGCAGATGCGTAGAGATATTGCCAAGCTTCTCGAGAATGGACAGGAGGCAACAGCGCGAATTCGGGCATGTTTTTTTTAAGTTTTTTATTTTATTTAATGACTTGAATCATTGAACCAGTTAATGGAAGAAATCAGGAGATAATTGAGTTCTTCTTACTTTTAGGTTGAGCATATTATTCGCGAGGAAAACATGATGGCAGCCCAGGAGATAATTGAGTTGTTTTGTGAACTCATCGCTGTCCGTCTTCCGATAATTGAAACACAGAGGTATGCTATCATTGTCTTGAGTTATTTTATGCTACTTCTTTATAATTGTTATCATGGTTTATAATGTGATATCTGCTTTTGTGTTGTTAATGTGGTTAAAGTGTCATTTAGACCAATGTTACTGCACACTGCTCCTTGGTTGGTCAATGTAGTGGTATTGTTATGCATACATTTGACCTTCAAATTTCAGCAAATATGAGCAGGCTTCAGCTTTTTTATGTCTAGCTCACACACCTTCCTGGTATTTTTGAAGTTATGACATATATATAAAGATTCCAGGATTCTTAATGCAACAATTTGTGGTTCTCAAATTCACAGAAATATAACAAAACAGAAGCAAAATCTGTCGAGGATTGAATTAGATTCTCATTCCTCCAATTTTGGTAGAAAGAAGATTTTGTAGTTATTGAGGTTTCCTTTGTCAAATAGGTTTCTTAATAGGAAGTCTTTGCTGTTGACAAGTTGGCCTATGGGTTAGAACCCAAGATGGAAGGAGGCTGCTGATGGTGAATAGTTATTGGAATACATTTTCTAGTCGTAGTTTTTCCTCTCATTTTTGAACTTCAATTTCATAGAAACTAAAAAATATTATCCTTTTTGACATTTGACAATGATGAATTGTTTGTTATAATAGAGTATTATTGTTAATCTAACTCGATTTGCCATCCAGAAGGAAGGAGATTAAGGTGTTGGAAATAAAGCAGGGATAGGAGTCAGAATATCTATTAAATGTTCTTCTATGTCGAGTTTATTCTACTGAAGAGTTGTCTTTACAGCTAATTATCAAAGGCTTCTACATCTAGAATGATCTTATGCAGGTTGCGAGTTTTATTATTGCTATTCTGTTTTTTGTAATGATTTTCTGCTTTATCATTGACATGAGCCTACTTAATACCATATTATCTAGTACCTAAATCAATCTTGTTGGACTGTTATGTAGTTTTTTAGCATGATATTTTTTTTCTCAAATTGGTTAAGCCTGATAACATGGATGAAGAGTTGGCGAGACTGCTTTGCTTAATCATTCTTCTACTTGATTTATACCTTATGCAACGCTTCAAAGCATGCATAACCAACTTCTTCTCTAGAATATGTGTTCTGGCTTCTTCTGGCAGCAACTTAATTCTTGGATTTTTGAATGTGTAGTTTGTACCTGTAGTTCAGTTTTTTTACAGATGTTTCTTACATTGAAATGACATACTTAAGAATTGTTCAGGGAATGCCCTTTAGACCTTAAAGAAGCAATCTCCAGCATATGTTTTGCAGCACCGAGATGCTCGGACTTACCAGAACTGCAGCAGGTTCAGATGTTATTCGCAGCCAAATACGGGAGGGAATTTGTTGCAGCTGCCTCTGAACTAATGCCAGATTGTGGAGTTAATCGACAGGTAAATACCAAACTAAATTATTATTTTCTTCCTTAAGTTTTATATGCACTGAAACCAATTGTCCTTGCAGGTAATCGAATTGCTTTCGGTTCGTGCTCCTTCTGTGGAAGCAAAATTGAAGCTTCTAAAGGAAATTGCTGAGGAGCATGAAGTTGACTGGGATCCAGCTGCCTCTGAAACCGAGTTTCTCAAGCCTCATGAAGATTTGTTGGTAAGAATAACTTGACAACTTTATATAAATTTTGATTGTGTTGTTCACCAATCTACTTGCTGCTTTGGTATCATCAGAATGGGCCAAACCACATCATCAGTGGCTCGACATCGCCTCTCCCTAAAGAACAGCAGGACGACTCTATCACCTCTGAGCACACAGCAGAGCATCACGAAGAAGCTGATTCAGATGATGCAGGCTTCGATGCGTTAGATTTTCCAGAAGTTCCGAAAGCTTCAGTCCAATCAACTTCAGATAACCCATCTGCTCCCGAAATCAAATTTTCAACAGTTAAGGATTATGTCCCACATCCCTTTGATACTGATCTTGAGCTCGACAAATCCGAAGCTTCCAAAAATATTGAAGCTGATGTGAAAACTTCTGAAATATCAACCTCTATGAGGGAAAATAAACAGTTTCAATATGTACCTTTTGTGGCTTCTCCTCCTCCTCCGCCTTTTTCATTGCCTTCAGAGCAAAGTGATCCAACTCTGGTCATTTCTCGTGACCCAAGTCCAAAATATGTTGCTGCCCCTCCTCCCCCTCCTTTCTTATTGCCTTCAGAGCAAAGTGATCAAACTCCATTTACAGTTCCTCCTCCCCCTTCTCCTTTCTCGTTGCCTTCAGAACAAAGTGATCCAACTCAATTTACAGTTCCTTCGTCTTCAAAGCAAAGAGGTTCAACTCCATTCAAAACCGAAGCCAACATAGACTTGCAGGATGTTCTGGCAGCAGCACAAGCTGCTGCAGAGAGTGCTGACCGAGCTGCTTCTGCTGCTCGTGCAGCAGCAAGTCTTGCTCAAGTTCGAATCTCAGAACTCATCACAAAGAAAAATGAAGGAAGAAATGATGATGGTAATGAAAAAAATGTATCAGTTCAGGATTCTGATACGAAGGAATTTCATGGGAAGCCGACATTTGATCAGCAGAACTCATTTGAATATACAGAGCCCGTTCAGGGGTTGGGATCGCCGACACAATCATCAGATGATGTGCACAAGATTGGGGATGCTTCACTTCATCAGCCTCAACGATCTTTTTCAATAGAAGAAGATCCATATTTCTCCTATCCCAACTTGTTCAATAGACAAGCTTCTGGCCTTGAGCCAGATTCTCATTCAAAATCAGGCCATGAGTTTTGAGTGTGCTATTTTCAAAACTTGAGTTTAATTTCTTGCGAGCAGTGGTGATTTACATGGGCAAGCTTTCTTGTTGCCTTCAGGGTATAGTAGAATTTAGTTGGTGATTGTGCACCTATGAGAAATTAGAGAGTAGATTTCTTGATAATTTGTGATCTGGGTTTGTATAATTCAACAGTTATGTGGCAAATATCTTCGTAATAAAAATGTTCCCTCAGCAAGTATCTTTCTGCTTCATCGTGTTTTTTATGAGATTCAAACCGTGCTTTGGCTTGCTTGTGACAAGTCTTTACAGACAGGTGATAGCCTGAGAGGCCTTAAGTAAATTTATGTTTTCATTTCATAAAATTGATTTGCATTTAATAGTAATGTTCTAAATTTTATTAAATAAAACTTAATCTTGCAAAGAAACATTACGCTCAATGCTCAACGGAAATATATGTGAAATGCTCTGGCAATCGGGTGCTCACAAATTGCCATGATGACGTATAAATAGGTACCGCACTGATAAAGAGGGTGAGGATTTTATCAGACCAAAAGGGAACAAAAGGGTTGGTCTACACCATTCACAGATAGATGAGAGGGCTAGTTTGGAAATTACAGCTCCGCTATTTATGGTGTAGATCACCTCACTGCTATAGGAATAATCTTAATAGGATTCAAACAGTGATAAAGAGACATAAAAGTCTACAAATTTCCACAATTATGCCTAAGTTTTCACAATAACTTAAAAGAAAATACAAGGAGTAAATTTAGTTGCTAAAAACAGTGATTTTAAGTAAGTATAAAACCTGCACCTACAGTTCATACATAACAATGTCACCCGAAGCTGTAAATATAAACACAGATGCCCCTGACTCGGGAGGGCATTTGCTAACAAATCATCTTAAACCTTCATAAAAACTCCTCTCATCTAGTAGCTGTTGCATAACTAAATAGACCAATGTGCTCTTAAATCGTAATCTTCCGTGGGTATTTACACGATTAATTCAGGAATGCTAGTGTCTGAAACAACTGACTGGTCATCTGAGCCTTCATTTAAAATATCAGTATCGCTTTTCTCCATGGTACTATCTTCAGAATTAGCTACAACTGTGAAGAAAGTTTGTGCATCAGATTTGGGACTCGTACTACAATAGTCTTTTCCCCTCCACATTACAATTTGCTCCTTGTCGAAGGTCACAAGCACACAAGGGACTAGATCCTGCACCGAAAACCCAAATGAAACCCTTTAAAAAGATTTTTATCCACAACTTCAAAAAAAAAAAGATGACACTGTAACAAACTGCTACCTCATTATCAAAGCATGAAATTTGAGCAAGAAAAAAAAAGATGACATTGTAAGAAACTGATTTATCAATTTCAACCAATCTTTTTCTTATTGTAAACTATTACAGCAAAGTTATTGGCAATGAGGATGAAAAAAGATGTCATAGGCATTGTCTGTTGCTGTATTACTGGAAATGAGGAGCTTTGCATTTCATGCTATAGAAAAGAGCAGAAGTGTGAACCGATAAATATATTGTTAGGGTGTATTTCCAGGTGTACAATCCTGCATATTGTGAGAAATGATATGCATATTGATAATTCATGGAAATGCAATCCTTTCTGTAATTTGATTGCCTTGAGAAAAACTAATAGAGCAAGACCTTTCTGGAAATGGCCTGCAGGCAGTGGATTTTTTTCAAAGAGCAAGTGACAGCACCAATACAACCCCCCCCACCCGGCACCCCCCACCCCACCCCCGCGCGCAAAAAAAAAAGAAAAAGAAAAAAAAAACCACACCCAAAAAAAAACAAGTTTCCCATATTTTCAACAGATCTTTGTTTTCATGTCTCAGGAAAGGAAAACAACCAACTGCAGAAACCCTCAAGAGAACCCAGTGAAGGCTTCTTGTGCAAATTGTATTTAGTGGATGATTAACCTGAAACCTCAGTGGTTCTCGCCGGTGACAAAATATACTTCATCAAACTTTTAGGTGGCTACTAACCATTACCCTAACATAAAACCTGAGCCCTAACTTGACATCGCTGAACAGATCTTGATCTAACCTTAACCAAACCCAACTTAGGCCTTTATATTAACTGAGCTCAAGCTTCAAGCCTTAAAACACCTTTATTGTCTAAAATTAAATACTGAAGTCACCATTTCTTTTGTATGCCCTACATGAAAGTGCCAACTTGCTAGTTAATTCACATATACCACGATGGAAGCCGCGGACATAGTTAATTCACATATACCACGATGGAAGCCGCGGACCTACCTACCTTTATTTTCTGGACCTCCCTGGGTCCCTACCTCCCTTTAAAATAAGAATCAAACGTTTATGCCATTAAAGAATGAATTAAGCCACAACAATCACTTCCTTTTCCCATCATAAGTCCCTTCAGACATAACTCTGATATAGAAATCAGGTGCTCATACTGGCCCCAGTACCATAGTGCATGACTTTGCAGTTCATCCCCACCTGACAACTTACTTTCCGTTGGTCATTACACGGTGGGGGCATAAAGCGAATGGTTAGTCATGCCTTTGCCATAAACTTCATAAAGATCAATATCTTTCATCAGTTGTTGAATCAGTGCCCATGTCAAACCATCATTGGCTGCTGATATTAACAATATCTTTTGACATCAGTTATTGAATCAGTGCCCATGTCAACCATCATTGGCTGCTGATATTAACACAAACTAGTATATGAAAAGATCAAAGGAATCATGTCAATCATTCCATAGCAATATGTAAACTAAAACTGAAATCTTTGTAGAAAAAACAACTACAGCAACTGATCCCAACAAACACAGAGCAGAATAGAACTTGGTGATCCAATAATGAGTTTTTGGTGGTATAATTTACATCCTTTAACAGAAAATAAGCATAAATGTCTAAAGAAGAAATCTGATTTCAGGAAAAAGTACATGTCATACATGCATGCTTATTAACACTTTAAAAGAGCCTGATAATGAAATAGAATCATAACATGTAACAGATTTTGTATAAGTTGGTGGTAACATTTCTACCCTAGATTTTCACGGGCTAAGAAACAAAACATGGATAACCAAATATAAAAAAATTGAATATTAAAAAATATTGCAAGTGTCATGAAAGAATATTAAAGAAAGTTACAATTATAGTTATCAGTTTCTTCAATTTTGCAAGTGTTATGAAAGAATATTCAAAAATGAATTCTACCAAATAATACTTACCCTGAGTTTAACCCCTATTTTCTTGTAGTCACTTCTAGGAAGCCCCTTGCAGTCTATTCTAACCAATTCATCAACCAGAAAAGCATCCCGGACCATTGGTACAAGACTGGCATAGTATCCATTCTTTGCTGCATAAACAATACCAAAGGAGAGATCAACCACATAGCTTTAGTACTAAAAGCAGCATAATAGAAAGGATTTTACCTAGCTTTATCAAAGCAGGAACAGCAAGGCCTCGCTTCCTCATGTCCTTTGTTTCCTCAATAGTAAGGCCATCTATCGTCGTTTTAATCAGCTTCGGATATACTGGCTCATGAGGCTTCCATAACATTAATGGAATTACAGGCCTCTTCTTGGGATTATAGTGCCTTCCTCTGTACAATATTATCTGACCCCCATGTCGATGGATAACTAGACCACCAGTCTTTTCCTGACAACATATACATCAAATGTCTCCAATGGTTCCTTTTGGAAGAAATAGGAGTTAGGAAACACAAACTATCCAAAACTTATATAATAAAATCAATATGCTGTTTTTATGTATTTCTATAATCATAACTCATGTTGGAACTTCAAATATGCTATGTATTCCTATAAATTTCACAACGATCATGCCAACTGCCATATATGGCTCTTTGGTCCAGAGAAAATTACAATCACAGTCAAAATTATAATTGTAGTTACAGCTTCCATATATGTAGTTACATCTTCCATATATGGCTCTTCGGTTCCAAAAAAAATTACAAGCAATTAAAGTTATAATATGTAAAAGGTAAATGCAGTTACAGTCTCAACTCTTTGTTTTGTTGAAAGTGCAGTCTTTTTAGAAAAGTGACTTGCAGTCAATTTAGTTGCAAGTTATTTAAATACAAAATCTCCTTTAGTCCTATTACAACTTTTGTTGCAAAAACAATGCACTTGCAGCCAAACAAACAGCTATAACTGCTTTTTACAAATTGCATGTACAATTGCAGTGGCAAGTTTCTGCATATCAAGCAACCCCACAATGACTAATTCAAATAAATTTCATAAAATCTGCCTAGATGAAAATCACTGCATCAAGAAATCAGTCTGTAAAGAGTTGTCAAATAGCAAGGGGAAATATGCAAGATGGTGGATGGTTGCTCCCTTCTTGCTACTTGTGTGAATGGGTTATGTGAAACTCCAACAGCACAACCTGGCAACAACCTAGTCTACGAGACCTTAAAAGGTTTATATAGGGATCTAGGTTTGATCATTGTATAATACAGATGTATTAAGGAGACAACTGTTCTAAGGAGATAACTGTCCTCTCCTAATAGATGGGTATTGTTCGTATTTCGTTACTTGTTCTACCTTCGTAATTCTTTTGAAACAGTCCCAGGAAACTAAAATTTTCACTACAAAAATAAAATACATGGCATGTTCTTATACTAAAAGTTATCAGACGGGTTTAATAGGCAAAAGCAAATTAGTGAAAATTAAAGGGATTTCAGATAACCATAGATAGATTGTCCTTTCTTTAGTCAGAATATGCAATAAAGCATAAAAAAATACTGATTTCAGCAACAGCCTAGCTTAGCTCCGTTATCCATACACAACCCCCAAATCAAGAAGTATGCAGAAACATCAAAACCTTGATAGGGATTACAGAAGAAGAAATACCTCAAGCTGGGTGCATACATTTTTCATATCAACAGTGGGCACACCAAGACACTTTATCCTAACAGCCTCTGCATTCTTCCAGCTATTGTGAATATCATTCAACATGTTGTGGGTTAATCCATCTCTTCCTGCATGATTATTGTGGTTGCTGACTCAATAGGGATTACTGAAAAGGAAACCATGAACAGAAAAGAAAATAAAGTTTAAGGAGGCAGGATTAGTATCAGCTTCACTTTTGAATAGACTAGTGAAGACGAATACACGAGATATATCACTGTAAACTTAATAACCTGTGTGTCAGAGATTTCTTTAAACATATGATACTCTATATCTCTAATATTCATTGGCACATAAGAGAAGAGAATCTGGAAATACGAGGCATTCTAAGAGAAGGAAAGTCTCATGTTCCCTCCCATCTCTTGTGGCAAAAAATTATTCCTTTCTAGTATTTGGGCCCAACCCAAGTGTAACCTGATAGGAAATGTGCTGGTTCTTTTTGTATCTTTTTTATGTAAAAACCATAGAAAGGCTGAAGCAAATTGAATATGGAACAGCAATAATTGACTTGTTTGCTCAAGGTTTTTTCTATTTGTTCTCTCCTTATCTATCTGCTTTATTTTTGTCTCTAAATCTTCCCTCTTACACTTTCTTTATCCCGTTTTATGTCAGTAAAAATTTCAGCAAAAAATTAATGATTAGCGTCCAATAGCCTCCATTCCCTAGAAATTTATAGATAAGTTTGATGACCTAATTTAGCACCATGTCATCTCTAAAACACATTTATAGTTCACGTTATCTATATAAATAACCTTAAAACCTCATTCACACTGCTAAATTATCTATATAAACAACCAAACTTTGACCCAAATTGACCTGCTGCTTGGTCCGATTCTTCTGAAACTTATCTAAAGTTTCTCGAACACCAAAATTTACAACATCCAAAGAGAGAGGCATATCCACAATGCAAATACCCAATCTAACGAAACCCAACAACTATAAAAACGATCAGATAGCATTCGAGGTTTAGATATGAAGCACGCCCAAATGCCCAATTCTTAGTTTTTAATTATCCGCCAACTAACAGTATAAAATATTGGTTATCAAGGCCACTTCATACATGTATAACTCAATCAGGTGCCTCTGTAAGCTAATCCTCTCTACTTTACTTCAACATTCTTACAAAAGTCAAATTTCACAATGCGTTAATATGACTCACACAAATAATCCGAATTAAAACAAAAATAACAACTTCTACTAAATGTTCTTCACTAAATCAGACTAAATTGAATCAAAGACCAAAACTTTACCCAAATTAACCTGCCGCTTGGTCCGATGCTTCTGACACTTATCAATCAACATCGCCCTCTCCGCCTGAGTCAGCGGCTCTCCGAGCACCTTCTCCCTCGCCGCCCTCCACCTCTCCTCCGCCGCCTCCTTCGCGGGCCCCACCTCACCACAGACCTCACCGTAGGGTCCACCGCGGGGGCAGCAAACCCCGTCCATGACCGATCAACTCTCCCGGGACCAAATGGGGAGTACTTGGGCTCGCGGAGCCCGATGGGCTTCACATTGGAGCTGCTCTCGGTGTAGCTGAAGCGGAAGTCGAAGGGGAGGTCGGAGCGGAGGGGGCTCTGACCGGAGCGGTCGAGGGATGAAGGGGGCTTGTAAGGGGGTTTCTTGGGTTTCTTCTTCGTTTGATTTGGGGGGTTAGGTTGGGGAGAGAGAGGGGGGAGACGATGACGGTCGGAGATGAAAGCGGCGAGAGGAGAGTTTAGGGAGGTTGTTTTGGCGAGTTGGGGGAATTTGAGACGGGGAGGGAAACGGAGGGACGTGGTAGGTGGCTCTTGAAGGGGTACAGGTCACGATTCCAATTATGAGAATTACAAAAAAACATTAATCTAGGGCGTGTTAACCCACTAAGAATCAAACAACTAAGAATATCTACATAACCCCAAAAAAATAACAACATAAATCAGAGTAATTCAGCGGATGAGAGACATATTAATTTTCCAATTAACATTATATCATATAAAAAATAACCAAAATAAGTATATTTAGTTGTAGAAGAAATAACCATACTGGTAATTCGGCATTATTTTTTATATGAAACCCATAATGTACAATAAGAAATAAAAAATTAAATACCATATTGAAAAAATTATCCTACTGAAAATGTAATTTCACAATTTAGCCTATTTCAAAGATTTGAAGAACTAATTCAATGTATTAGGCCTCAGAACTAATATAAAATCCTTTTCATGAGGTAGAATTTTTTATTAGGACTTGTCAACAAATCATCAAAAACTAGGACTCTAACTCTCTATTTATCAGTCAGTTTTATCTCCAACATCGACTTTGACCAATAAAATAAAAATATTATCGTTAAAATATTTATTTTCAAAAAAATAACTTTTCGTTTAGGTAAATTAATTAATTTATAATTTTATAATAGTACTAATACATATTAAATGGCTTGAGATGAAAGAGAAATAGAGAAAAAGTTGTTACTAATTGCATTTTAACAATGATATTAGTAGTTGTCTTCAGTATAAAGAGTTTATTTTTCATCGGAATTCATGATGCTATTAGCTCTGTATTATATGGGTAGTCTTTTTTAGGGTAATCATCATGAAACTCCTTTCAAGTTTAATCATTTATTATGAAACCCCCTACCGCTATTTTTTGATTGCCAAATCCTCACCCCTTGAGAAAAAAGCAGTTAATAGTCATTTAGACTTTTTTTTAACTATTCCACAAATACCCTACTCTTCTTCCTCCCAGCCTAATTTCTCGTACTCTCATTTCATTTTAGGCAAGTAACTTCTTCTCTTCATACTTTCTGAACGTGGTTCTTCTCTGAAACATAGCTCTCCTAACCAACATAATCATTTCTTCACAAGACAAAACATAATGAGAAATTGAGAATTACATTAAATAGATACTAAATTAGAAAGTTTTAAGAGAGTACTTCTACCTTCAATTGATTTTCTCTTTAGTGACAATTGAGATTAATTGCATTGGATTTGATGTTGAAGAGAAAGAGGGGTTTTTTAATAATTTGAGGAAGAAGAGCTGTGTTATTATTGAGGGGTATTAGAGGTAGAATATCAGTCACATGCTACTTTTGATGGATTTTTACATGATAGGATGTTTTGTAAAAAAAAGAAAAATACAAGAAGTTTCATAATAAATAGCCAATCTAAAGAGTGTTTCATAATAATTACCCTCCATTATTAGTCAGAATGACAACAACAAAGCTTGTATATATTTTTGTTTTTTTGTTTCTTTTTGGTGGGTATGAATTCTATTTTAATTTTTCCGACTCTAACGTAGGACATGTCCTTTGTGCTAATTTTACAGAATCATTAGTAATAACTTTTAGAGAATGGTTTTTAAGCTATAAACTAATTATAATTTTATTTATATTGGAATGATACATTTTTTGATGCCTGGCATACATGTTTAAACCATCTCAATCAATTCAATCTCATTTTTATTTATAAATGGAGAAACATAAAATCTCCAAACATACCATCGGTTTCCTACTCTATTTCCTAACTTACATCCACGGGACTAGCACCACATTCTTATTCTTGCCACATTTTTTTCCAGTGCATACAATGAGTACAAATTAATAATTTTCAGAAGAACAAGCAAAACAAAGACTATGGCTAATTGCATATTAGTTCCTTAGATTATCCATAATTGTAAATTAGTTCCTCAAATCTCAGTATTTGCTCGTTGGTCCCTCAAATCTATATTCCTCTTACAGTTTCTCCCCTCAGGTTTAGTAATGTGAGTTTTTAGAATAGAGTAATATTCCATCATTTTTAACGGAATGTGAGGGTTTACGCGTTACACCCTCATCCAAACTCACAAACATATTTCTCAGCGGGTTTAAAACTACAACCCAATTATCCTAAAACTCAAACCCAAAAAGTTATTCTTCCCCAACGGTCAAAGGCATCCCAAGCCCATTTCAAAGGTCTTTTCTTTGTAATATTCCATCTAAACCATGTTTAGATAAATTCCCTCTAGACCTCTAAATATATATGCTAGAGGGTGTATTTTTGCAACTGCAGATGTTAGGTTGAGGGCTAACCTAAGCATGGTTAGAGAAAATAACAAAAAAGCTAACAGAGGGACCAAATTGCAATAAAAAATACAGATTTGAGGGACTAATAAGAGAACACCGAGATTCGAGAGACCAAGTATGAATGATTTAAAGGACTAATGTGTAATTTGTAATTAACCCTTTACACCAGCGTTGAGTTGACGCTAAAATAATATACGCTTAAAAATGTACAGGATGCGAAAAGCGTAGAATATTTCTTGAGTAGTCTCTCTGTAGAGTCGGAACGGTCCAAAAGGCCCAGGAAAGCTGTGGCCATGAGCAAACCCACATTGGACTTATCGGCCCCAAATCAGACATCATCCAATTACAAAGCCCCGCAACCGTAATCTCTCATCCCGCCTCGGTCCACGTGGCCCAACT